GGGGGGGCAAGAACATAAGCTTTAAAATTCTGAAAGTCTGGACAAGTTCATATTAAAATAAATAAATATTAATAACTCTGACGTTACTTGCTACAGAAATTCCAGTATAGCAATGAAGTATTACCATATTGCAGAAACAGTTTATTTCCTCTAATAACTGACCAAAGTTCCAGCCAAATGTCCTTAAAAAAAAAAATTCAAGTCACTATTTCTTTCCGAAAAACCTTAATTTTTAATTTAGAAGGGTAGAAGACAAATGGACATATGCAGTCAGCTGATCTGACTACTTCGGTGTATCAGAAATCTGCTCTTGGAAGTTAAACAAACAAAAATTTAATGCACACCAAGTCCACATTTACTACTTGTCTTTAAAAATCGAAACACATACTGCTTTTAAAATTTATGTGTGGAATAAATTAAGAAAATTCACAGTGACTAAATGCTGAGATATCAGTTTCAATTCTACCCTGCAAGAACAATTTAACTTATGCACAATATCAGATTTTTTTACACCAGAAAACGACCACAACTAATCTTCTACACTCATACTGGAAACATCAAAATACCTAGTTTTATTTTAAATGCAACTATAATTTGCTTTTAAGGCCTGCAGTACACGGTAGCAATACAATCTAACTGTTAGCTTGTTACCATTAATGTGTTTGCCTTTATGAGAATACAGACTGAAAACAGCTGGGAGATTTAAGTTAGGTGGTGGTTCTGGAATTTACTCACAGTGGATTGTTTCATCAGGTTTTGACTGCAGAAGGGGTTCCTGTACAAACTGTTAAGACATACAGCTTAACAAACGTTTTCAAACACCTCCGAGTTAACTGTAAACAGTTTCAGTACTTACTGTTCTTACGAACTGTGATGTCCTGCCTCTTCTTCTCGTTGAAACTGAAAGAAAAATTTTCAATACAAACTATTGCATGGTTTTGTGGAAAAAAAACTCCAGCATAATCCTGTATGTTCTTTTTTCTTTTACAAAGACAATATACACTAATACTTCCCAGTCTTTACAAGGAAGAGGGGGGAGATCAGACTCTCACACTGCAGATTGCTCATTTATTTTTTGAAACTTAAGATATAAAAAGCTTGAAAGCCATTTCATCTGGGTCTATCCTAGAAATACGTTAAAAATAATTTAGTGGTTACATGCTTAAATGCATTTTGCTAGCATCATTTATTCCAGTTTGATGCAGGAGGAAAGAAAGACAAGATGAGTGAAAGTACACTTTTGCCTTCATAACTGTGCTTCCTTTTCTCTTTCCCACAGAGCTGTTAAGTCACAAATCACTCTCCACGAGCAGTACAAGACAGCTAAACCTAACAGTTCACTGTTACCAAAAGGAGAATCCCATGGCTCCACCCCTCTGTTCTGACAGCACATCTTCACACCTTCTCCTGTGCCACTCTCAAGTTCATTTAACTTCTCTATGAACAGTAAGCACATCAAACTGTTCTTCTTCTTGAGCTGGGGATAGGGAATAAAGTGATGGGTTTGTCTTCTTTTACCATGTTGATCTGGCTTATTGAGCAGTCCCAGAGAAGATGCAACAGAAAGTGAAAGAGGTTACTCCCTTTTAGCAGGCCTGAGCCACCACTTGGCTCAACTTTTTAGCTAACTGAATTCAGTTGGAGCTCTGGTGAGGGACTTGTAAGGTTGTATGAAGATACCAAATACCATTAGATTTTCAATCCAAACAGAGATTTTCGCTTTCTTGTCTTCATTTCCTCCCCCTTCTCAAACTCTAATTTCACCACTTTCAACATCCCCCCCCAAAACCTCACCATCAAAAATAACGTCTTTGTAACAGTCAGACAAATGAAGGTGAATCTGATGACATCTATTTTCAAGCACCTTGTTTGCATTTAGGGTTTTTTTTGTTTGTTTGGTTTATAATTGTCACTACACTATGATACAGTATATATTCAGCAAAAAAAACACTGAATGGAATTTAAAAGTGGATGTTTGGGTTCTATTTGCTTCATTAGTTTGTCTTGTAACCCTACACCACATAAGCCTTGGAAAAACTTGCGAATGTCACAGTTCTTTTGTTTTCTTATCTAAGTATTTTATGGATCCAATTCTGCTCTTCATCTTCTTGCTGTATAAAAATTTAAACTGAAGGATACATATGGGGCTCTGCAACAGCTAACACACAGCATTTCTTTACCCCTTGATCTGCCATTTTTATGATGCTTCTACAACCAGACATAGTTCATTCACACCAGTCTTATTACTTCTTTTACAATTACCTACAATTTCAGGTCAGGACACCTTTTACTCCTGCAGTACCACGGCTGCAACATCAGACACCACTTACTGGCCCTCTGTGGAGCTCAGTCTTCTCCTGAACCCACAGATGACAAACACCCACCCGGCCTTCACAAAATACAAGTACAACCCTGACCAGCCGTTTCCATTTGCACTCAGAACACCCTGACCAGCTCAGCCTGAGGCCAGGCACGACACCAAATGTTTAACACGAGTACACATCCCTCAGCAAACCGAAATTCTCATTTGGAATACCTAAAGCCAAGCAAGGCGCTGCAGGTCCACTGTACCACTGCAATCCGTCTAGAAAAGGCCAGTTTGCTCACTTACATCTTCAGACTGCTCACAGTATTTACACTGCCAAAATCTGTATCCTTTACCATAAAGATATTTGGGGGGGGAGGTGTTTTTTTTTAGGTTGGTTTTTTTTTTTTTTAAGGAAAAGCCCTCTTGTTAGAGATTATAAAGATTGATTATAGAATAGAATAAAATCATAGAACTAGAACGTAGATTCAGTTGTGTAAACACAGCTGTGTTAAGAAACCATACAACCGGTGTGTTGCAATTGGGAAAGAAATCGATTGTATCAAACAGAATTCACAAAAGAAGATGAAAGACAGACGACAACTCCGAGACGACCCTGAAACCAAGACAGGCCTGAAACCATTGAGGGAGAATTCTACGAAGACAGAATAATAGAAAGCACTTAATAAATGATGTACTTAAAGGAACGGAACGGTTGCTTAGAAACTTATGAAGACTCTAGACTTGATGTAACCGGTTTAATAAATGTATATAAACTGGTCTAGCAAGTTAAGCTTTGCCACTCACTGAGGTGATGGCCCAACTCTGAGTTGTGAATAAAGCAGTACCTAGTGTAACCCACCCATGTGAGGATAAAATCTTTAACACCCTCCAGCAAATATTTGCAAAAACAAAACGTCCTTTTCAGAGCCGCCCGCAGCCGCGAAGGGACGAGGCCCACGGGCTCC